AAATGATTCATCGTTTAAGTATTTCTTAAACGATGAATCGATGAAACAATCTGTAGAAATCTTGATTTCTAAAATCACCGTTAGCTGTAGCCTGTAGTGATAAAGGACACACACTCACACCTAATTGTAAACTACAGGTTGAGGGTAAATGTTTTTATTTTTAATAAATTGTATTAAAGACATGGATATGCTGGTGTTTGTTTTTTTGTCCCCCCATGCAATCCTTTAAAGTTGCACCTGTTTTTTAAGTTTTAGCTGAACATGGTAAAACTGCAAAACACATTGCATTTTGTTTATAAGGACTCCAACAAAGTGTTTGGTAAGAATAATACTTGGCAGGGAGTAAGTTGAGTGAATTATACTATTTGCAGGAGACAAAAGTAAATAGTTGTGTCGAGTAGGCTTAAGACTGAATTAAAGAGTAAGTAATGAACGGCACTATAGACACAGTGGGTGTTATTTACTGGACACACTTCTCAGTGTCAAATTTACATTTTTCTACTTTACTGTGTAGATGAACTTTGTTATAACAGACTGTTCAGAAAATTTAATCCACACAATTGCCTCTAGTGAGAGGCTGCTGGCGGACCTGCAGCGGGATGTGGCCAACGAGCTTAAACGGTAAGTTTAGACTGTTCTGTCCAGTGCATGAAGTGGGGGGGAGACATAGGTGTGGGTACTCCATATTGACATGTTGGTATTGGCTCATACCCTACCCACCACCCCTATAAATTAGTATAATAGTAACATTAAATTAAAACTATAACAGTTTTATTTTTGTGAGTTTTCATTTGGTTAATGAAAAAAGAAATACCCTTTTTTCATTATTTTCATTATCAAAAAGTGTATTTTTAATTTATTCCTGTATTCATTAATTTAATTCAGTAGGCTTCATTGAGATATTTTAGTTCAAACACGTTGCCAAAGCATAAAGTCACAAAAAATTAAAGAAAATACAATTAAACAATAATTTGTTCATTTTATTCTAGGGCTGTCCCCAACTAAGGATTTACACAGTCGAATCAGAATCGTCAAGTCCTGCCTGTAGTCGACTGATAGTCGAATCATGTGTGTTTTTGAGTGCGGCGATTGCGAGCGGGGAGAAGTGTGGGGGTGGGGGGAGAGCTGCAGTCTCTATTTATTCAACTTGCACTGTAAATTTCCAGCTAATCTGAGGCTTTTTGAAGACCCTTTTCTCTCTCTCTCGCCTGTCATTGTCGCGGCTCCTCGCGGGTCTATTTCAAGTAGACGGCTATTTTAAAACGATAAAATATTCTTTGTGTGGTTCAACTGTGATAAATTATCCAAAAGTCTGCGAGGTGCGAACAGCTCGGCACAACACCAGTGAAGCCGGATCTCAGTCTCTTCAGCAAGTGTTTCTCTTCTGCCACCACACACGCTAGGTCTCCACATGCACACTGACGACCCAGGATTAGGGTTACAATTTTGGATTTATTTACGCACTTTAAAAACATTTATTGAAAATTTTATTCTTTTCCCAAGTGAAAAAGAAATATACTTGAGTTGCACTTTTTTTGGATGCACTTATTACATTTTAATTGTACTAAACTAAGTGTATATTGTGTTATTTTGGAACAACTTCAAGTATGTTAAGTGTCATTTTAGAAATACTTCAAGTCAACTTCAAGATAATTGCAATATATTTTAATGTACTTAGTTGTGTTAAAATGGACCTATTTTAAGTACCTTTACTGTAATTTAAATATACTTCTTTAAATTTAACTTAAAATACCCTTTTGTGCTATACTTGAAGAACAGTTTAAATATATTTTAAATGTGTTCCCTGAACATTTTTATTAGCATTTCAGTATATTGGTAATTTATTACTAGTATACTCCAAGATATATAAGACAATATCGTGGGAAGCTGCTTTATGAAACCATTCAGTATGAGAATAATTCATGCCCTTTTAGCATAATAATAAAAATCAGTAAAAAAAAAAAAAAAAGTATTTTACAACACACACATACAGACAACTAAAAACTTTAATTTTGTTTACATTACAAAAATAAATTCCTGTACATTAAAAGGTACAGCAGCATGTATCACATCTTGACCAAAATACCTTCAAATAAAATGATTCATAATAGCTTCAGCTAAACTTTAGAATGAATTTATACAAAAATGACAACTGTGGTGATGTATATACAGACTATATGGGCAAGAATAATGATTACAGTGACCAATAACTTACTGTAAACACGGACATGTGAGTAATGCAGACTATAAAAATGTGAACCTATTCTTTAGCACACAGACGGCAACATATTAGTTGCATTTATTAACGTTACTCTAATAAAGACCTCACTGGTCATTTTAACAGTGCAAAAGCAGAATTGAGGGCTCATGCACACAGATTAACAGGCCTGCCTTGTTAAAATCTCATGCATAAAATTCCAGCAACAGGTTACTGAGACTGTATATTACCGAAATTATAGCAACATTAAAAACTGCCATACAGCAAAAAGCAATTAATTACTGTAACGTTAATTGCGTTTCTTTTGTAACGCGTTACTCCCAACACTGTTAAGGCGGACGAAAGTTGCTGTCTCGATTATGAAGCTGTTAAAATGCTAACTAAAGTTAGCTAACAAATATATTAATCTACGTGCTAGCATTAGCTAATGCACACCAGAGCTATCCACCAAGTAAAATATTTCCAAACCCAGAGTGAGCTCAACTTTAGGTAACTTACACAATTGTGTTGTCTTGCTAACAATAATAAACTTAACGTTACCAAGAAAGATGCTGGGAGTCTCTGCGTCTGTCCTCTCCTGCTTGTCCTTGCCAGTCACGCCTCTTTGGCTCTTTTCACATTTAACTTCTGCAGGGAGCTGACCGGATATTCTTCACTTCTGTGTTCTTCTCTTATTATGTCTTAGGTGTCCACCTTCCAAGTCCGAGTCGTTAAAGTAAAACAAAGGAAACCTGAGAAACAAAATTATTTCTGGTCAAAAATGTCTGCCCTCTCAACGACTGTACACACATTAACTTTAGTTAAACGGACTTTCTGTGTGATTGGGTCGTCGATTTGAAGGGAGGGCGTGCCAGATAAGGTGTGGTTCGGACGTTGCAAACATATGACATCACATCCTGTTTGGGGCTTTTTTCACAAATATTTGTTAGCTTATAATTGGGACATTTGTTCGCGTATAAAAATTTCCTCTACAAACTTTTATCGACTTGGTCCAGAGATCGTCCGTGCCAACTGCGATTGCAAGGCATCGCGGTTTCCAGCCCCACTCGGGCTTGGACCCCTAAAAATATATTAACAATCCAATTACAAGAGTGATCATATTATAAAAATGTAGTTGGGAAATTAAAAGAATTAATTTTGATTAAAACATTTTATTAGAAAAGTAATCAGATTACATTGGAAAATTAGATTACAAAATGATTAATTGAAAAAATATTACCAGTGTAATCCAATTTCAGAAGTAATCAGATTACATTAGAAAATTAGATTACAAAATAAAAACTATTAATTGAAAAAATATTACCAGTGTAATCCAATTTCAGAAGTAATCAGATTTCAGAAGTGATCAAGTTGAGTCATTAGATCACAATGAAACAAATTACCAAAGTAATCAAATTACAAATGTAATCAAAGTACCTTGCAAATAGATCAGTGGAAAAAAATATTTGAAATTTAAAATTCAGATCAGAAAATTGGATTACAAATGTAAACAAATAACAAAAGTAATCAAGCTGTAAATCTTTAGATTACAGGTCATCGAATTATGGAAGTCAACAAATGCAATCACATTACATTGGAAAAATAAGATTAGAAAATACAATTCAATGGGGAGAAAAAATTGGGTAGAGTAATGGGATTACAAAAGTAATAAGATTACAAAGGTAGGTCAGATTATAAAAGTAATAACGTAAAATAATCAGATTACATTACAAAAATTAAATTACAAAATAGTCAATGAAAAGATTAACACCAATGCAATCAATATCAGAAGTAATCAGATTACAAATGTAATGAAGTTAGAAGAGTAATCAGATTACCTTGCAAAAATTTAATTAACAGATTCAATGAAATATCAATGTAATCAATATCAGAAGTAATCAGATTACAATGGTATTCAGATTACAACAGTAATCAAGTTGAGAGTAATCATATTAGAAATGAGATTACAAGTGTATCAAGTTATGAGAGTAATCTGAATACAAGAAATCAGATTACAAATGTAATGAGGTTATAGGATTAATCAGATTACATGTAATCTGATTATTATCTATTATAATGTTTTAATTTGTGAAGCTGCCAAATACATGGAAAGTACACAACATTTTCCTTAGTAAAAGTAGTAAGTACAAAATGAAAACGGTGGCTACTTCAAGTATTGAAGTAAAAGTAAACTTTTGGCAAAAAAAGTTCAAAATGGTCCTTTTTATAAGAGTTATATTGTTACAGTATATTATATTATTGGAATATTATTACTGATGCTTTAACACATTTTAATATTATATCTGGTGGAGGTGGAACACATTTGAACTACTTATATACAGTGTAATATTTTATACATTGATATGTTTTACTCTTGATTTGTAAGTAACTAAATTACTGCAGCTGTCAAATAAATATAGTGGAGCAAAATGTACAGTGTTTCCCTCTTATATGTAGTAGAGTGTAGTATTAAAGTACAAAGTAGCATCCAATATAAATAATAAAGGAAACTAAGTACCTCAAAGTTGGGTATTACTTGATGTGTCTGGCCAATAAGATTACTGAAGCAGCCTCAATAAAATAACTTCTCAGGTTGTGTTTTCTTGTTTTGGGCCACACCATGATGCAGATGTGTTAACACCATAAAATATAATTTACAGTAAGTCTGTAGAGCACACATGGGGACTTCTGTCCTATTTACTTTGAGCCGGCTAACCTCTAGTCTCTCTCGGTGAATGAGTGACCAGACTTGGCTTTGTTTTAATGGGCGGGCCAGTGTCTCCCCTCGGACAGGCCAATAAAACTAGAGAGCTGCTCGCAGCTTGGTCTGTGCGTTACATAACAGTACTGCGGGTCCGCTGTGCAGGCAGTCAGTGTAGGTTCACCTCCACTCATCGGTTTACTTCTTCACAATGGCAGCTCCGAAGAAAGTCTGCATAATTGGCTCGGGAAATTGGTAAGCTGATGTGTCAATGTATTGAACTGTAAACTGACGGGGTGTTAAACATGGTTAACTTTGGAGTGCTTCAGCTTGCTTGTCAGCCCGGTGTACCGCTGCTAACCGACTTAGCATCACCGGGCAAACATCCAGCTAACGTTATATCTTAGAAGTTTGACTTGCAAACTGTGTACGATGAACTACTAAAATATAACGTTTCGTTTGCAGGAGCACCAGATTTAGCATTGAATATGGTCACATGCTAAACGGACAGAGTATAACGTTACAGAAAACTGGCCACATGTCAGTCACGATTAATAGGATTTTGTGGTCATGTAGCCATACTGTGTCAGCAACAGAGATACAACACGTTAACCCACTCTCCTTAGCACCTCCTACAGTAGAAATATGTACATGTTATTTTACAGCCATTATCTAAATGACGCATCTGTCACCCTCAGTGGGCGCGTTTGGGTGGGTGAAACCAATCGCCAAACCCCACTCAGCATTCGGATAGTTTAAAGTTATCTAGTCCACTTCGAAATCCCAGAGTGAGGAAACATAATTTCAGACCATAAGTGAAAAATTGAAGTCTTCTTGTAAATTCGGCATATAGCTGTAGTTTATCGACCAAACCACTGTATCTTATTTATCACAACTCTGTTGGTGTACACAGTTTGTTTTACGATTGTAGCTCTTGTAACGAAATCAAATTTAAAGCTTAATAAGCTCAATAAGCTCATTGATGCTTAATGCATTGTTGTGCTGAATTGATGTGTTGGCCACGAATTATTAGAATAATTCTCAAGATCAAACGACCACAAAATCAGCCGATTTCTCAATGGAGTTTGGCGTAGTGTTGTCTCCACACCAAATTAATCAAGGTTGCCACGCATTTCAGCTTATCTTGAGTGCAGCCTGCCAGCTCAGAAAACAGCAGTTGATCAATTAAAGTAATCATTAAAGTGAACCTGTGGAAAGAACAGAGGAGCCGTGATTAGTAATACCCTGGTAATCGCACCAACAGTCACGTGATTGCAATAAATCTGTAAAGAGTTTATCACCAGGACTTCACTGAGTGTTGAATCATTACAAGCACCTCAGCTTATCATGAGTGTATCTCTTCTGGATCCACACTGTTTCATTATTGTATTGCTTTGATTTTAAATGCAGTATGCATTGTAACGAGTTCTTACGATGTAAATGAAATACTAACCTGTAACTATTAACAATACAGGGGGTCTGCCATTGCCAAGATAGTGGGTGCCAATGCTGCACAGATTTCAACATTTGACAGCACCGTAAAAATGTGGGTGTTTGAGGAGACTGTGAATGGGCGCAAACTGACTGAAATAATCAACACTGACCATGAAAATGTGAAGTACCTTCCTGGGCATAAGTTACCAACAAATGTGGTAAGAAACTGTTGGTCCCTCACCATTTAACAGTAATTTTGTTTAGTGCGTGGGTGTACTGTGTTATTTTGGGTCCTTGACACATTTCCAGCATTATGTGTACAGACACATTATGCTTTGTATCGGCATTTCTTCAGATTGCTTCCTCCACCACAGCCTTTATAATAGATTATTAGCCTTTTTATAATTGACTGTAACATCTGTTTTCTGAATGTGCTCTTAAAACAGGTTGTTTCACCAGCTCTGATGTAGGTTGCGTTATACTTTTATGTATGTCATACCTCTTACAACTTCATCCTCACCCTCCTCAGGTGGCTGTCCCAGACCTGGTGGAGGCGTCCAGTGACGCAGACATTTTGGTGTTTGTGATCCCGCACCAGTTCATTGGGAAAGTATGCGACACCATGAAGGGCAAGATAAAGAGTGATGCGCTGGGGATATCCCTCATCAAGGTTCAACTTTGTTCTTTGTGCTGAAAATGTTTCACCTTTTTTTTTTTTTTTTTTTTTTTTTTTCTCCGAATTTTGGTGTGATTCTTATTAATGTTGAATGCCAGACTCATGCTGTCTATGACCAGGTTAAAGGAGCTGAAAGCCAGCTGTGCAGTGTGTGTTTTTTTTTAACCAAATACCAGCTTAGTATGGCTTAATGTAAATACACTACTTGTGTATGTGTTTTTGTTTCTCCAGGGTGTAGACGAGGGGCCTGATGGACTTAAACTAATCTCAGATGTGATCCAGGAGAAGCTTGGTATCACCATGAGTGTGCTGATGGGGGCCAACATTGCCAATGAAGTTGCTGATGAGAAGTTTTGTGAGACCACTATTGGTTAGTCTGATTTTATTTTATTTCTTGTCTTGAAACATTTTTTGACTGCTGAGCATAGGGTTGTTATTTTGAAAGAAATTATTGTTTATTATTTTATTAATTAGTTTGACTTTTTTTAAAGTAAGATTTAAAGTTACGATAAGCAGGTTTCAGCCTTGAAGCAGGAGGTATGTTTGTTGCAGTACTCAAGCTTTCTGCATCATCAGCATCGTGGTGACTGTTCAATCTGCTTTGTAGTTGATGGGATTTACTATTAGTGCATTGTTAGAACACTGAAAGGATTAATACTTGTTGGATCAGGGCCTGCAAATGTAACTTGTTTAAGGTATTGGAGCATTACAGCTGTTCTCTTAAAGTCACTGTGTTTTAACCATGAAATTCTACTAGTTTAAATGGTGGTGAATGCCACAACAAGTCATCTTGCAGAGATGCCAAAAGATAACCAGGTTCTGTTTTTTTCCGCTTCCAGGGTGTAAGAATAAAAACCATGGGGCCCTCCTGAAGGAACTCATGCAGACCAACAACTTCAGAGTTACTGTAGTAGAAGAGTATGATGTGGTGGAAATCTGTGGAGCCTTGAAGGTGAGCTTTATTACAAACACGGCCTTTTACATCTTACATTTGAACTTTCATAACAGTTTGCTAATGTTATCATTTTGCAACACTAAAAATTGTTCAGCCAAGTTCCACAAGAGTCCATTTAGCAAACATGACATCTGCAAAACTATCTGCAGCTGTCTGGGCAAAAGTCAGACAAAAAAAACTAATGCACTTAATAACATTCCCCCACTGCAGACCTGTCAAATACAATGCAAAGTATCTTTGTAAAGGTAATACTACTTGATTATGCACACAAGATTATCCTGCTGAGAAAAAGAATGCTGACAAATTACAGAAAATGACATGTAGTTTGGCTTCTAAGCAGCAACACTGACTGAATAAATCTTCCCCTGGGATACATGCCCAAACATAAAGCAGTGCACTTACAATATTTAAAGGCCCCTTTTTTGTGTTATTCTGCTGTGACCGGTGTCAGGTTTGCATCTGCTTTAACAGTCATAGTGCTGCCATTTAGCCCAAGATTTACAGATTTCACATTTAATTTGGCGTGCATATTGAGAATACAATATTTTTCACAGCGTTCGCTTGTCATTAGACATTTATCATCTGATAGGCTTTACACATTTTAATAAATATCAGTATTATAGATGTAACTTGTCACTAACGTCTGTGTCTAAAGATTAATCACTTAGCATTAGTAAATATGAATATCTTTAAGGTTTGGACTGTTGTTTGGAATGCTTCACAAACATGGCTTAACTTAAGTAACTTTGTGAATGGCTGGTGAGACGGACAATGCTGTTTGAGGTTATGTCATTCATTGATGTTTGTCCAATTTACATATAAGCTCTCACGCTTGGAAAGTTTAGCACGTACATTAATTTATGCATTGATTTAGACAGTATGTGGATGTCCTCCAGATAGTATGCATCCTGTGTAAGGAATCCAGGTGTGTCTTCCGCTCGTGTATCTGCAGTCTTTGTTTAACACTTTTCCTCCTCATCCGTCCTTCAGAACATCGTTGCGGTTGGAGCAGGTTTCTGTGACGGTCTGGGCTACGGTGACAACACAAAGGCAGCAGTGATCAGGTTGGGCCTGATGGAGATGATTGCCTTTGCCCGCATTTTCTGCACTTCTGGGCCCGTGTCCTCCGCAACCTTCCTGGAGAGCTGCGGCGTGGCTGACCTCATCACAACTTGCTACGGCGGCCGCAACCGCAAAGTAGCCGAAGCTTTTGTAAAGACGGGGAAGGTGAGTGCTTAGATTTTCAAATATGTCTACAATTTTATGAGAAAAGGAAATATGTCTAATGTGTTTAGATTTTTAATTCCTTCCCAATCAGCAGCCAAAGCTGATGATGACTCTTGGTTTGTTGACAAGTGCTAGAAAGGGTCAAACTGTAATGAATAAATTGGTGCCGCCAAGCAAAAGTACTTTCTTAAATGATGCACTGATGAAATAATCTGTAGAAGCTTTGAGTACTAAAACCATCATTAGCTGCAGCCCTATTACGGTCTTCTAACGTATCCTAACGTTAGAATTAAGCTTTCAATAGTATTTGACCATAGACTCTAAGATCTTGTTTTAAACCGGAGACTGGATTACTTTTATTTGTACAGAAGCTTTGAAAAACTGTTACAAAGTGCTTAACAGTAAAACATCTAAGAAAATCCAAAATATAAGCAAGATAATTTTATTTACTTTTTATATTCTAATTATGAATTACCACCTTTTAAACTTTTTCAACTTTATGACAATCTGACGGAGCCTACATACATAGAGTATACCTAGAGTCAAATTAAATGATTAAATTGGATTTTGTTATGTTTTATGGTGATAGTAGCAGAAAAGGGGGGGAGGGGGGTCACAAGAAAAGCGTCAAACCTTTTTTTTTTTTTATCATGAGAGAAAATACTTTAATGGATAAACATGAACAACAAATGAAGTAAGCATTCTGCGCTATACTAATGGTAATTCAGTCTGCAACATATTGGAATTTATGGGGTCCTGAAGTATGAGTTTATAAAATTATGTGTGGACCATCTTTCTTTTTTCCATGTAACATGTTTCTGCCCAGTCCATTGAGGAGCTGGAGAAAGAGATGCTGAATGGTCAGAAGCTGCAAGGACCGGCAACGGCAGCGGAGGTTTATCTCATCCTCAAGCACAAAAACCTAACTGACAAGTAAGTTAAGCACCAACACAGAATCAAAGCACTGTTTCCATTATTTGTGTGCTCATCAATACCTCCTCCTTCCTCCAGGTTCCCTCTGTTCAATGCAGTGTATCAGATCTGCTATCAGGGCCATCCAGTCTCAGAGTTCATAAGCTGCTTGCAGAACCACCCAGAGCACATGTAAGAACAGCAAACAGACCAAGTGCCTTCTAAATTAAGAACATCCATTACCTGTCAGAAATAAATGAGAGCTGACCAGTCACTCCATAGCTGTCGTGCAACTAAATGTGGTTGCACAACGTGTGTTCAACTCTGGTTCGACCACTTTGTCCTTAACATTCTGTTTCTGACATCTTTAAGTGCTTTCTTTTATTTCCTGACGTATAATGAAACTTAAAGGATCATATTTTTCTTTTACCAAGTGGTGTTTAGCTAGCTCTTTTAATTCCTGAGATTTAAAAAATATATATTTTAGCCAGATGAAATCAGAATGCATCATGTTGCCAAATTGAAAACACATCAGAAATACAGATTTTATAGGATATAAAAATGATTTGAAAATGTTTGTTGATGACACTGACTCAGCCCTCGACTGCCATTCACTTAGTTTGTACAATGTTTATGGCACTGCATCATGCGTTCAGATTTCGGCAGTGCAAACCGCTCAGGGTAAAGACCTGTTGACATACTTCTAAAGAGGGAATTATCACTATTATCTAATATCTCTGTTGCCGTCCAGTGAATGCCTGTCCATTACCACAAGTTGTTTAATTATAGATGTAATACCTCACTTCATTATGTCTTTGTATGTTTTAAAGTGTCTTACATAATTCACATGATATTTCCTGTCTTGTACTGTATATTAACATACTGTCAAACGCACAGCAACAGTTTTTAACTAAATAAATGCAAGTGCCTTAGAATGCACCTTTGCTCTTGGCCATTGTCTATCTATAATGTATATTTTTTTTTGGGGGGGGGGGTCAAACCTTAGACTTAGCATCTGTCCGCTATGCCATTTGTTATTGTGACCCTGCCTCACATTGTTCACTCAGTTATGGCTTGTGTGTGTGTGTGTGTGGTGGAAAATTATGTTATCATTTGTCTGTGAATAAATTAATTCTTTCATCAAATCATGGCTGGAATCATTTGTCACTCTTGCATTAGAAATCATCTATTTTAGCTACACAGCCAACACAACAGTGGGAATGTCAGTAGAAAGAAATACTGCCAGAATATTATTTTTTGAAAGCGTAAGTCATCAGGCAAATTGTATTGATTACCATATATAGCAATATCGACATACTAATAGATTACATAAGATAAAAAGATCTGTATACATAGTCCTGCCAACAGTTTGGCACTATTCGCTTAACAGGTGTCAGTAACACGCCATATGCAGCAATGTGCCAACAAAGGCACGGAAGAAAGAGTGGTAGAAAGTAAACATGGATGTAAACAATGCTGGACTTCAAATTGGCTTTGTAGATGTTTTGAGTAAGGAAATGCATTCAACACATTTGCATTCAACTCCACGGGGCCCCTTTTAATGAGTATGGCAAACTGCATTTCATTACACACTGCTTGTGTGAGAAATTAAACCGTGAATCATTGAAAAACACTAAATAACAAGGACAGAAATCAGATGCTGCACTGCCCTAAATACAAGACAAAGTAAGGCAGTGGCAGGAAGATGAAAGGAAACATTCATTATACAACAATACTTGCTCTGCATCACATCCGAAATGGTTCACTTCAAACTTATTTATCGCTCTAACATCAGCCAGAACCCTTTCCCTTATTCAGAAAATAGGGTTTAAAAATGTGGCTTAAACTTGCTGTGACATTGCTCTGTTGCAGAGTAATGCAATACATGCCCAATTTGATCCAGTGTGTGCTTACCCTTTTAGGACAGGCAACTCCTGGAGAATGTTACTAGAAAGGAAGTTAACTGCATGACTGGCTGATGAATTACCTTTAATCAGCTAAACTCCTTCTTCCTGTATGTGAGTACATGCTGCACACAACAGCCACATTTATAGCCTTGTAACTAGTGAATACACTTCACTCATGTACGATTGTCAAGGAAGTCAAATCCTCAAAACATTTGATTTGAAGGAATAGCTTGACATTTTGGTTAAGCTTTCTTGCTGAGAGTTGGACAATATTCTTCCCACTCATGTTTGTAGGTAACTCAGCTTAGCATAAAGAATTGAAACGGAGAAATAACTAGCCTACATCTGTCCTGTTAAAAAAAATTATTTATTCTGAAAAACTACCTCGTTTGTTTAATCTGTAAAAATTACACTTTGTGGTTTTACAGGATAACAGAACTCCAGGAAGTCACTACCGGCCAAGAAATAGCTCAAGCATGCAACTCCCCAAATTGTCAAATAAAAGACAAAAAATACACTTAATTTTAGCAAGGTGGACCAGCAGATTTTTTTGGCTTTCACCAGAGCCAGGCAAGTTGTTTCCCCCGCTACAGGTATTTATGCTAAGCTAAGCTAACCGGCTGGCTGTGGATTATTTAGTGCACTGATCTTACCATATATAGCTTGGAAAGAAAGCAAATATGTGCATTTCCCCAAATTGTCTAACTAATCCTTTTAAGATTTTATTGAATGGTGATGTCAAATTAAAATATATATTCTTTAGGCTACACTTATCACAACATAATTTATACTATTGTGTCCCTGAGGCGTGAAATCTCTGACATGAATAGCAACTGTAAGTCGCTTTGGATAAAAGTGAATGAATAATTGTAATGAAGCAATAAAAAAAAAAAAATTAAAAAAAAATTGAAATAAAATTTTTAAAAAAGCACCACAAAAGCATGAAACACATTAACAGAGAAGCAAAAGCAGTTTATTAAAAGTAGTGGAAATGTAGCTAGCTTTACATGCCAGTGTGCAGTTAACAGCAGTATACAGTACGTCATAAAGACATTCACTATTGACCTGTGGTAGTCACTGCTGCTCTCAGGATATTTTGAAATATGGAATGAACATCAGCAACTTAAATAAACTTGTGGGAAAAAAAGTAAACAAAAAAAGGGAATGAAGCTCCCAGGGAGGCTAACTAAACAAGACAAAGAGCTCATTTTCTTGTCCGTAAGGATACTTAAGACTATTCCAGTACGAATGCTTTGAAAAGAAACGGACTGCATTGCCCTTTAAACACCAAAGACTATTTATCTTAAACAGCCTTGGTCCCTGGCAGGAGGTAAAAAGACAGTACGCAAGTTGTAAAAAGAAATTCCACTAAGTGTGATTAAATAAATGCAGTCAAAGCATATTGGTATTACAATCGCAACGCTTATAAGAGTAACAGCTGGAGAACAATCACTCCTGTTGTTCCTCGTCTCTGCTGTGTTCAGTTACCATCTTTGGTACAGTGCTTAACACTGGGTGAGCATGACTCAGCTACGTGTATTGTTGTTGCTCTGCTCTGCTTGTTACTCGGCCGTTCGATTTACAATCCTGACAAATTAAGACCTAATTAATAGAGACATGGACACGGAGCTAGTTCATCAGACAGTTATTTTTTGTTCGCAATACCCTGGTTCAGTTTTTTTTAAAGATTTTTTTGTCCCCTTTTCATCTGACTTGGTCCCACCTCTCAAATGAAACATAAAAAGTTGCTGTGAATGTATGAATTTAAAAAAACCCTACCCTATTGAATGTCTGATGAACTGGCTCCAAGGAATAATTGCACCTCCTTCCCCGAAGACATTCCAGTAATGAAACATGAAACGACTCAGACTGCAGCACCCCTCCTACCTCTATTCCTCCCTCATCTCATCACAACTCACAGTTTGTGAGGGTTGACCCATTTGTAAGTGCCTTCATAGCGAAATCCAACTTTCTGTGTAAGGTCGTCTGCTTCGGCTGGGCCACGGCTAAGAAGAAAAGAGAAACAATCAACACTCACTGTTACATTCCTATTCTAGCTAAGGGCAGAGTGAACAACATTTCCTACCTTCCGTATTTGTAAGGAATGGGTTTGGGCTTCTCTTTGTCTATCTGATGAAGAAGAGGTGTGAAGATCCTCCATGCTTCCCTTAGTTCATCACTGCAGAGACAAACAATTCAATATGTGGTGGAGGACATGACAACAGAGCTGTCAGGCAGCTGAGAATATGTATGTGTCGCCATCTAGTGTGAAGAACTGTTCACAGAAAGCACATGCAATATGCTGTTCCAACACACAGTTTACAAGTAGAAACACGAGAGTGGAAAACAAAGACAGACCTGCGTACAAAGTGCATCTGACTCCCACAGAAGACATCCAGAATGAGGCGTTCGTAAGCGTCTGGAAGTTTTACATCCTGGAAATAAGACAGGAATTTCAGACAATCACTTATTTAAATCAGAAAAATACATTTAACAAATTGAAAAGGTGACTTAGTTTTTCTTTGTCCTGTTTAAATCACTAGCTCTAGGTTAGGGTTTCTGTTCCCTTTGCCTCTTTCCTCTCTGTGATAAAGTACATACTGCATAAATAAATCAACTTGAACCTGCCTTGTATCTACTCTTGTAGGTGAGGTCCAGCTCAGTTTCCTCAGGGCTGAAGTATACGCCGGGTTTCTTGCTCATCATCTTGGCGTAGACGGCCTCGTTGGGCTGTACGCGCACCACAAGCTCATTCCTGCGACACATATCTCCAAAAATGTCCCCTGGAACGTCTGTGAACTGCAGCCGTACCTCGGCTTTCCTCTCGTTCAGAGCCTTTCCACAGCGAAGGATGAAAGGAACACCTGAGGAGCAACACATTTTTATGGCAATGCATTATGAAAGAGCACAGGGCAACGTGAGATCAGGAGGATTTGTTTTTGTAAAGGGCACGGTGTGTTTACCATCCCAGCGTTCGTTGTGCACATATAGTACAGCGCAGGTAAAGGTGGCCTGAGTCGATCCTTTAGGAACTGTGGGATCATCAAGATAACCCAGTTTGGCTTCTCCCTCACCCTCTGGATCCCCCACATACTGACCCAGCACCACATCAGACATGGACACTGGAGCGATGCACTTCAGCACCTTCACCTACAAGAGGGAACACGAGAGAACAGACATCCTGTGTTTTCACGCTCAGAAACAAACCATAATACATCTCTCCATACTGTAGTATTGGAGGAGGTGTTGAGAGCGTCGGGTCTCTGGGAGACGAATTTGTACCTTTTCATCCCTGACATCATCAGAGCTGGTGGATGCTGGCTTCTCCATGGCAACCAGGCAGAGCATCTGGAGCAAGTGGTTCTGCATGACATCGCTGATCACAACAAAGGGAACAGGTGGCCACACAAAATACAGAGGAGAATGTGATGGCTGCGATCATAATCATTACATTACAATTATAACTGATCATTTGTTAGCACTGATATTGCTACTATTAAAACTGGTCAAATCTAAACGCTTTGCTTTATACACGAATTTAGCATTTAAAAGCACTTTATAAAGAGAGTGTCCACAGGAGGAGTTATAGTTGTTGATAAATACATTAACAAACATCTGCTTACAACCACATTAGAGTTTCATTTACAATTTAATTTAATGTTTATATTATATACACATACATGTATGTATATACTGCTTACAAATGCTAAATGGGGTGGTGTATGTATGTGTAAGTATGAAAGTACTGATTACAACAGTAACTAAAAATGTAGAGTTCAAGTGTAGAAGCTCCTGATACTGTTTTCTGCTCATTTGAAAAAAACCTGGGTACAAAAGCATTAAAAATTTAAGAAAGACCAACTTTAAAATTAATTTGTTTTCCGCTCACCGGATGATGCCAAAATCATCAAAGTAGCCTCCTCGTCCCTGAGTGCCGAATGGTTCTTTGAAGGTGAGAACAACACAGGCCACACTGTCTCTGTTCCAGATCGGCCCAAAGATGCGGTTCCCAAACCTGCAATGAACATCACGTAATTGTTCTCTGCTAGGCCGCACGCACAGCGTGACAAGACAGCCGTTCATGACAACATGCATAAATATTTTCTCTTCTGTTTTGTACTTGGTTAGAGGCCAATTTGTGTTTTTTCTAAACCACAAATCAGCTGAAACATGTGAGCTGAAAGTGTTGTATAATTCAAATGACCTGAAATCCTCAGTAGATCTTTGTTTTAGGGTCAAATTAAAAAAGAAACACCTTTCCTTTACAACACAAAGAATTACAATGCACAGGGACAAATACCAACAACTCTAAGAAGAAAAGTTGCACTCAGTTAAATTAAATTATTTTTTTAAACTCTATTTGATATTTGTAACTTTTAATAATAATACCTTCCCAAGATATCAAACAAAAGTAACACACAGTAATTATGCGTGTTCCCACCCCTATAACCTTTAAAAAAATAAATAAATAAAATAAAATAATAATAAAAAGATGGATTTGGTTTAGGAATTTCCTCAGATATACTATGAAATCTATGTGCGTATTGTGCAATTCTTTGTATAATATTTGTTTCTGATCTTCCATCTTATTTCTAACATGTTAACTAATTTCTGCAATGATTTATCATTTCCATTGTGTAGATTTTATTAATTGTATCTTCCATTTGCCTGTTTGTGGTGCAGTTGGATCAGCTGGGAGTAGCAGGTGTTATACCCAGTAGTAATCGCTCTGAGCCAAAAAAAAAGTTAGCAATGAAATATTGTATCCATGATTTTATAATGACAATAATATCTTATTTGACAATTATAATCTTTACACGGCATCATAATAAATAAATGCAAGTAAAAGCAACCTTATTATTTTCCTCACCTGAGCACCATGAGGTTCTGCACCATTTCCTTGCCCAGATAGTGATCTATCCGGTAGATTTGTTCTTCAGTGAAGAGGGAGGACAGGTGAGTGGACAGCTCCTCAGAACTCTGAAGGTCATGTCCAAACGGCTTCTCTACGATCACCCGGTTCCAGCCTCTACACAACACAACACACACACACGAAAATGAACATGTAAATCACATAAAATGGGACACAATTGGGTTTAAATTGAGTTTCCTTTAAATAGTGAATTTGGGTCAGTACTTTTTGCACTCTTTGGGATCAGCTGAAGGTAAGCGTTTCTGTTATTTAGCCTACTCTCACTGATATAAATGGGGTGGACAAAATAATAGGAACACCAGAGTGTATGGTTTCACCCATGGAAGGACCCAGAACGTCCAAGGATTTGCAAGCAGACACCTAAATACACACCTCTCAACCATTAGTGCTGCTGCTGGTAAATGTATTCCTGTCAGATGTGATGTAAAATCACATCTGACAGGACATAGAAAGGTTGGGGTTTAGGCACACTGTACATGCAATTAATAAAAAAAAAAAAAGTAAATCACTGAAGAGATCACAAAAGGTACATTATTGGAGCTTTAAGACATTCAGACATAGCAAGACAGCACACAGACACTCACAAAACAAAAAGAAAACAGTGTGACACAACAACAGAGTGTGCACTGACTTTGTGCTCATACAGCAGTGCCTTATGTTCTTGGTAACATCGTGGTAGACGGTGGGCGGCAGCGCCAGGTAGAAGAGACGGTTTGCCTCAGGTCCTCCGGGCAGAGAGAGAATGTGTGTGTTGAGTTTGGAGAAGGAACCTTCATCTGCGTATTTCCCACTGATGTAAGTGTTCCTGCTGAAGAAGGCCGACAACCGCTCTGCTTCTGTATCTGCCGCCTTTTAAGGTGACATGGCAAACTTGTTAAAAGCAGTTGCTTATATACACATCCAGGGGGGACAAAATGTGGGAGAGCGGATTTAAGGTGTATGGAGGGCAAGATGTTAAATGACATCAGTGACATTTGATATTGCAGGTGTACTTGTCTAATTGTAAAATTAATAAAATAAGCAATAACTCGTATGGATAATTAATAGAGGGAAGACAACTTGGTCCTTAGTTTAATTTGGAACAAAAGAAAGGTAACAGAAAGTTAAGATATTGGCTAATTTATTATATTTCATTTGTATCTAGTCTTTTTTGTTTAACTACTCTCAGCTTGACACTGAGTTCAGTTGTTCTTTTGTATCTGGAACATTCTGTATGTTCAGCAGGTTTTCTTTAATTTACTTCCACATTTACTTTTTTTAATTAGAACGCTCCTGTACATTTTCAACACTTATAAAACTCTTTCAATGTTTACCCATCTTTGTTGTACTTGTTTTAGCTGCATATATATATATATTTCTATCTTCCTGAAAACTTTGAAATGTGTGTAAGTAGGCAGTGAACTTGAAACTTAAGTCATATTCCCTGAATGTGCCCACATACAGAACTACAAGATACTGAATAATATTAGATTGCAACTAATCTCCCCTCACAAATAAATAAAACCTTAAGAGCCTTTGAGATGTTAAAAAGTTGTGCAATTATCATTACTGATTAGGAAGAAACTTGGCAGGGCCTGTAAACTCTTGCTCATGAACATGACCACCTTAAAATACTCTGACAAGACTTACCAAAATTTATAATTATCCTGACCAGTGGGTCAGTGGGCAATATGGCCAAAATCACACTCTCTCTCTCTCTCTCTCTCTCTTTGGGGTACAGGTACTCTCAAAAGAATAATGCCGGATTTGCTCATGTTTGTAAAGATGTTGAAAGCCCGTTTAAAAATAGATTTTAATTATTATCGAATGATGAAGGATCTGGAAAGTTTTTTCCAGTATGTGGTGTTACAAGAATGTTCTTTGTTGGGTCGTAGATGATGAACTGCTTTTTCAAAGTGTGCTGAGATAATTTGGATTCTGTGAATCTTGTTTTACTGATTGTTGTAGTTTTGTAACCTTTTGAAACTTCTAATAAATGTATTGTTGTCTCTCTCGTTGTCTCTCTCTCCCTCTCTCTCCACCTGCTCTGTATTTACAATTTCACTCTCCTCCTCCGTGTTTTCTTGTCACTCTCTTGACGGTAAACCAGCTTAGAGGTGCATTACAGTCACCAAAAGAGCTGCAACTGTGGTAAGCAGCTCTGGAGCCCAAATCATGTTACTTTGCAAGGCACTTTGTGAGATTGCCCAGAAGTGCAAATTTCTTGGTCCAACTTAATTTTCCTAGCTTGTTCTATACTTTGTCTACTAGACAGGAAATTAATGTTTTTAAGCTGGGATGACAGAATAAGTGCAAACCAGCATGCTTTTTTTATAAGTAACTGGTTGGGGGCCATCTTAATATGTTAAACATGGAGAGAGCAACTGTTTTTCTTTAATACTTGTCACTGGGACTTCATGAAAACACACACACACACACACACACACACACACACACGTAACATAGCCTCACTGTATTATCCTATAAACTTTTTTTTCCTTGTGTTGTAAAAAATTGCATCTCAAAATGTCCAGCTTTACCTTCATGTATGGCATGCAAGAAGACCGAATGGCATCAACTGTCAAGTCAGAGCGAGCAAAGCCCACGAAATAGGTCTGCTCAGGGAGGAGGCCATCTCTGAACAACCACCTGGGAGAGTACAGAGAAACATATGGTTCACTGCACCCAACTTCAGAAGCTCCAGTCCAGATTAGAGGAGTTTCTCAGAATCTGCTCTCTTTCTGATGTAAAAGCCTTTCACTTGGGTCACAGGTCCACTCACCAAAGAGTTGGGTAGATTTTCTTCTTAGCCAGATCTCCCTACAGAGGCAAACACACAATCAGATATATGACTTCACCTTTAAAAACATAGGTCACGTACACAATAATGCAAGTGTGTATGCTGTGTTTTGGAGTTACTGTGCTGCTTATTTAACCAGTGTCAGAGTGATAATTATTTTCCATGACACAAAAGTCTCAAGATGCTGAAGCATTACAGGTTGCACCGTCTGGCAACAGGTAAGTAGGCTACTCTGGCTTATTTAAGAACTGTGTAACCTCAGTAATCCCACTGAAAGCAAGTACCAACCACCAACAGACAGTCTGGAGACAAAAGACTGTCCTGGTGGTTACTGAACTCATGCTGAAGAACTTGTGTAACAGTATCAACTTTTGATAGTGTTTGACATGTTTCACAAGACAACACATGGACTTTACTGTACAGTATACTAGATAAAGCCCTTGGATGCCAGTGTCTGACAGGAGGCGCTTAAAATCAGGGATGACCTGAGGCAAACATCAATACACGGCATCAAGGACACGACAAGGCATTAGAAGTCAATTCAAAGTAATTCCCATAATGTCATACTGCTGGCCTACATCAGTCTCCCTTTAAGACACGCTATTTCTCAGCTGGGAATTCCTGAACTTGTAACCTGGTTACATTATTTAAGAGTGTGTGCTTTAAATACTGTAGACGAGAGGAAGTGAACAAAAGTATGCAACTCACTATTCGCATGTGTCAATCTTTAATGTCACACTTGGGTTAAGAGGTTTGTTATTAATTTGCCCTTAATTACAACATCCAACAACAGTAGCAAAGTCAAGTCAAACTGTTAATAGTATTGAATTAGTTGCAGTATGTAAATGTTTGGCCTGACTCTTTGTTAATGACATGGTGATAAACATGAAGGGGCTATGTTTTTGTTTTTTTTTTAAAAACAAGCTTGCAGGACACCCAGTTAAAAAACAGCTGCAGTAACATACAAGTATCCATAAAACTTGTAAAACCAGTGTGAGCTTAGCTTGCACACAGCCCAGCCCTTCACCTGACCTGCCTGTCTGTCTATCACACTGAAAGAAAACTGCTGACAGTCTGTGACAATGCAAAAATCGGCAACAGTGCCGCTCTCCTCTCCCAGGAAAGCAAACAGTGCAGGAGAAAGGAGGACACAGCCAGTGAATTATTGTAGCCTGACTAGATTTTCAAAAAAAAATGGACCAACACCCTCTTTTTCATATGCGATGGCAACAGTTATTGAAATACAGTTTTAAGAAATTACAAAATGATGATTTTTTTTTTATGATTTTGCAGGAAATATGGTCTGAGCAGTGAAAGCAAAGCTGTTGCTGACAGCAAAAATGTTTGGCTACAACTTTACACATTCTCATAGATAAAACCACATTTCTGTTTAAATTTACAATAGCGTTAAGCATGTCTTATTTATTTTGGATGGACTGAAGTCATGTTAGAAGGAGAAGGCCAAGAGGAAAAACACCTGGACATATCATGTACCAAAGAAATGAGGAAACTGGTCTGAAAACGGCCAGAATGGCTGAAATTGTTTTAGTTCCTGAACTCGACACCCTAACGGTATGAGGAAATAGTAAATGGGGAAAAGAGATATTTCTTAATCACATTATCGGGATAGATCAACTTATTTTAGCAGTAAAAGAAATCAACTTTGATTACGATAGGGCCAAGTGGCAACCTCTGGGTCTGAAAAGTGAAGCCAATCCAGAAGGGCCTTGAACCTGTATTCTTTCTAATGGCCAGCAGGGGCGACTGTCCAATTGCATTGGACTCAATGAGTTTAGGGTCTCAATTGTTAGTTTCAAGCCTTATTTTTTAAATTATGGTCCCATTTAGAGGAAAATAGACAAAAAGCAGGTTATGCTTTAGGGCGTAGCCATTTGTGATAGACCAGTCATTACCATGGTGACCTATCAATCAGGATAGATGTGGCTCCTATCCACAGCACTGTGTGCGGTAGAAACAGCTTATTTAACAGCACTGCATTTAACTAGCTGTGTTTTTTAGTGCTATTTGTGCGTTTGTCAAAGAGCTTTGACGCTTTCACAGTGTGCTTTCAGTTGATTAGTGCACCTTGCTAACAAAGCTAGCTAACCGCACCCTCTCATATAAATATGGTCACATCTAGTCCCAAAAACCAAGATGGCGATGGTTAAATTGCCAAACTCAAGAATTTAAAACAGTAGTCCACAAACCAATGGATGGCGTCCACTTCTTTTATACAGTCTACAGATAAGGCATGTGCATCAAATGCCAAATATTTTCAGTTGACCCTTTGCGAAACGACCCCCCAAGGTTGTATACAGGCTGTCAAACTGATGTAAAAAACAAAGACACAAGCTAAAGGCTACCGATCACAAAGTAAAAGTGAACCACCGTATTACCAGACTATTGAGGAAAAGGACAACAATAACAATATCAAGGATCAACACTGTTCTTGTAAAGCTGGGTATGTCTCTATTCACTATTACAATCATGAAAAAGCAAAAACAGTAAGCCTATATAACATTACATTCAGTAATAAGTTAGCTAGCGTTAGCTAACTAACTAGCGAAGGGTCAATTAACAACCAAAATGACTGTCAACAACTGAAAACTGAAATATTTTCTGCTCATATGGTTAGCTTGGTTTACTTATTCTTTGCAGAATTGCACAGTTCAAATAAAAATGTTTCTGATTAACACTGTATTTCATTTAAGCAAATTTGTCATAAAAAGTTGTTTTGTGTTAATACAATAATATACAGTTATGCATTTGAGGTATGTTTTAATGAATTAAATAAACAAAAAAAAAGGTTTCTGCACAAAATGCTAAGCAAAGTAAGGTATTAGGAAGAACCTTTGATACCCAGTCAGAGCTGTCTATTGAAATAATTAGTGAAGAGGAACCTCGAGATTGTCACAATCTTGGGCTTTTGAAAGCTCGGATGGTGCTTGTTTGCATAAGCTTGGTGAAATTGGTTTCACCATTTCCTTAATCACATTGTGTGCAATTATTGCAGTTTTTTGAAAGATTACAATACACTTTCTTTGAAATTGTAGCCAACAATTCTTGCCTAAGTGACCTTCATTGTAAATGTGCCAAAAAAATAAGGGAACACAGAGAAAAGGTACATGCTCCAAATTGGTCTTAAAAGCTTGATTATTTTTTGAAATCACACAGTGTGATCGGGGTTGCTCCAGACCATTAGCCCTTTCATTTCACACATGTACGCTGCGTTTCATTTAATCATGGACTACATTATGACCCCCCCTCCCATGCTCTGCTCTTACCGATGCTCCCATGATTATGAAGATGTGAGCGTCGGACTGATGGAACTCTTCATCTTCATGCAGCTCTTTCCTCAGCTCCCCAAACACCTCAGAGCGAGAGAGGGGGATGTTGCTCATTTTCTCTACAAAACATACAAACAGAAAATCCCAAAAAAAAAGAAAAAAAAAAAATGTTAATCCAATCATCAAGAACACAAATACAGACTGTACTCTACCTAACACAGATTTACTGTGCCTCTACAGTAGGCCTGCATAATAGTTAGTATGTAAAACACAACAGACAAAAAACCACAACAACAAAACAAGATAAAGTGCGAAAAAGTTTTAGTTCCATAACTACAACTCACGTCTAACTTTACATTTCTGCTGACCTTTGTCAAATGCATGCTGTACAGTTTAGGTGTTTTGGATGCATTTTTCTGACGTTCGAGGCAGTCAGTGATTGCCATTTATTTATGCACGTTATGAAAGTCGGACTGTAAGGTCTGTCGCCAATGATTTAATAAAAAGAAAAACGCTTGCTGAATACTTGAATTCAATGTTCTTTTGCTCCCGGCTGGTGGCACCCAGAAGGGTTTAAAGAGACTAAATATAAAAGTTGCTCCTCCATTTGTTTTGCATAACCAGCCTATTGAAGCTTGCATGAGTTATGTAGTGCATCACAGTAAACAACAAGCCTGTATTCATATGTCAGTGTGACATAACCGTCGCACTTTAGGTGATCCAGTGCAGATTGATTTCAAATGTCTGCACAGACATTGATCGCAGTGTAAGATTACACAACTCGAACAAGTTTCAAGTATATGTGACAAGATTTTTATACCATGTGAAAGTTAACTGAATGTGCAGATGAGGCGATTAATCAATTCATCATCAGCACCGTTTCATAACCGATTCAGTTTTTCCAAGTAAAAAATGCAAACATGGGCTGGTTTTAGCCTTGTTCATGGAAGGATTTGCAGCTTATCTCTGTTTTATAAAATCATAAACTGAATATGTTTGGGTTTTGGACTGCGGGACGGACAAAACATTTGCAGACTAGAACACAATTTTCTGACTAGACAAGACTGAATGCCATTAAATACAATGCTCCTATTACTTAATCGATTAATCAATCACTTAATCCATCAACACTGAATATAATCATTAGTTTGCTAGCTCTAGAATAGATAACAATGGAAGACTGAAACAATTTAAATAAAATATTATAATACATCATAATTGTTTGAAAATGGTCAGCAGTGATGTAAAGTACACACAATTTTCACTAAATGGGCAATACCTGGCAAAACCACAGGTGCTTTACTTCCTCCGTTATCCAACAGTCAAAGTTAAGGAGTTGCAAATTTGAGAGACAAAGACAAACTTAGATTTCCTTGTGACTCATTTCAAGTTGTAACAACGAGCCAAATCAGGAAGCAAGTGACTTCTCTTTTCAGGAATTTGATCACTGACTTTATTTTCACACTTAAAGCCTGCAGGCTCGGGGGTGATAAATCTGCAACGCACCTGTGCAAAGCTCTGTGGCTTATTGTCAAACATCAAGTGTCATATAAGGTTACATTATGCAAATCATCGCTGACATAAGGACTGCATGTGGATTTCTGTTAGTCACTAACGTTAGCTAGCTCTCAGAAATAGCCCGACACACAAACACACACACTGTAATGATGTTAGATAAATCCTCCACCAAATCCCGAACATGGAGGACTAAACCTTCCTGCAGAACACCTCGATAAAGCTGGTTAACGTTAGCTAACATAACAGTAGCTGACATGCTGATGTTTAGTGAGTGGATAGTTAGCTGCTAACATCCAGGATGATACTCCTCAGGTTATGCTGTTATTAAACTGAGCAACAAAGCTGGTTTTTTTCGTAGGCTGAACGCCGGACTAACACTACAGGAAAAACCGCCCTGTCAGCAGCCCTTTTAGCTTCACATGCTGTTATGACAACATGGCTTGACAAGCAACACATTCAAACTGCCGCGTCCAACTAGCAAACAGCGCCTAGCTTACAACTGGCGTTAGCTACATGCAAGGGTAAACGGTTGAGCTACAGGAGAAAGGTGAAAATTAACTGCTACTCACAAGTCCGTGAACGAGGTGATAACCTGGCAGTTAAACCCCTGACCGAACGACGGGACACAGACTTTATGCACACTCACAGCGACTCAACAGTCAAAGCCTGTGCGCATTTGCGTGTCCTGCCTACTTCCCTGTTGAAGTGACAACGAAGAATTGCGAGATTTTTATTGGTTTGGGAGAAACTCACCAGCACTCGCTCGAGTCCCCATCACTGTCGAGATCAGTGACGTCACCAACTCTGCAGAGGGGCGTGGTTTAGCTGTACAGCCCACACACACACACACAATGCCCATTATGAAAACTGGAAAGGTGGGAATGTAGGCTATTCATTCTTCCTAACGATTTTTTTTACAAAAAAAGAGTACATTAAGAAACAACTCTATCTTTTTATCTTTATTTTAAAAAAACAAATACAACCTTCCAGTTACTGACTTTTTCCTTTTTACAAGAAACTTAAAAAAACAGATTTTTTTTTTTAACAGATTGATTCACATTTTTGGAGTGTGTTTTTACAGGAAAAAGGAAAAGGCTGGTCATCCTCTTTGCATTGATTGAAAGTAGCCTAACTAAGTACACTTCTTGGATACTTGTTTCTGGCTTGAGTAATTGAAATGAATAATACAAAAACAGTTGGGCACTGTAACTTTTAGCTAACTTTATAGGGTCAATAGTGCATTTTTTGGAAACTGTTTTCAGCTGTGGATTAATACATTTTTGGTGCTAGATTTAATGCGGGATTGACTCAAAATAAAGTACAGTGCTAATGTTCATGGTAATGAAGAAACATGTCGCCCAACAGTGTGGCTGTTTTTGAACAACAATGGACCTCTATTGCACAGATGAATAAGATACATGAGGCTTTGGCTACAAAGACAACACAGGTAATAATAGTAGGATCAATTCATTGTTGGTTTTGGTCTTTTCCTTGAATTGGCTGACTATACAAAAAATATAAAACGTCACAAGACTTATTATTTAATTAAATACTCACATCCCCATATGTAGCCTACATTGAAAGTAAGAATTATTGGTCACTGTAAGGATTCCTCCTGTTAATGCTGGCTTTACAGCCCTCCAATGTAAGATATGGGGGTCGGAATACACAGTAAAATGCTTTTAAAAGTATCAGTCACAACATTCACTCTTTGTGTTTAGATATACAGCATTTCCTTTCTGAGTTGCAGTAGATGGATGGCATGAAGAGGGGATTTTGTGCAAAAAAGGCCGTAACTTTGTAAGATATCACTTTTACATTGGAGTCGCACAAGGAGGATCCCTTCACAGCCAGGAACAATTACAGGGACCAATAACTTTATAAATGTACACAAGGGCACGTGAGAATTTTATTAAGGAAGACCGGACAAAATCTAAACCTATCCCTGCAGAAAAGCTAAATGCACATGTCCACATATGCAAATCCATGACTAGGTGTCAGATGAAGACCCAGTTTTGGCTGGTGGAGTCGCACATCATCATTATCACGTTTCCTCCTGATACTGTCAAACATTTGCCTGATGACGGGTTCTTCAGTTTGTTTGTCTGAAAGCAACACCAATGTAAACATTATCACTATCTTCTGTGGTGTTTAAGAGGGTCACATTTAGATTTATAAACTGTAACACAAGCTTAGAGGTAGAGTGACAAGAATGAGGAAATGGAAGTCAAGTATTTGCCCGTGCAACTTAGGACGTTGTTGTAACAGCAGTTGCTGCAGAGTTTGAGTTGATGTGGAAATAAATGTTGTACCTGTGTGAAGACCCACACTTGCTCAGGCGCTGCTGTGGTTATTTTCCCCTTCAGTCGACAGAGTTTCAGAGACGCCCCAGCTGTTCCAGGAGCTGCATGTAAACATAACTCAATATCGGTGCTGAGCCGTACCTCTCGATGGGATGTGTACTCAAAATACTACAAGTCACAGAGACAAATTGCATTTTAAGATAAGATTTTTAAAAACAATCCCTAATTGCATTACCATCAATACATTTTAAGCACTATTGTAGTTTACTTTATCTAACTATTTGTGACCAGTCATCACAGGTTATGATCTCGGGATTCATTTGAAGGAAGAAGCAAAAAATCAGAAAAATAAACAGAATTTTGTCTAACAGAACACAGTTTATTATCACTTTATTCATCTGGTTACCCTCAGATTTTTCTGCCCCCCAAAGCTAAACAGAAGTTAGCGTACCTGTCCGTCACCTTTATTGCATTTAAACTTTTGAACAGTCTCCCATTGCCTGTTTGTCTTCTTCACATGCAGGCAGCACTTCAAACCAATGTTATGCAACTGCAGAAGAAGTAATAATACCATAATTGGACAGAGTGTTCCAGATGCTTTTTCATGACACTTATGTTCTGTAGAAAACACTTTTGTGGGTTGATTCAAAGTTAAGACATTAATGAATGTAATTTATGTCAACAAACAACAAAATGTAAAAGTGTCAGATTTATATAATATATATAACTATATCTGAAACATCCTACTGAAGATGATCAAACGTTGATAACTGATAAATTAGTTTACCTGTCCGTGCATGACTGGCCTGATGTCAGGCATGTAGGCCTCTGGATAAATGTTGTTCAGGTACCAAGAGAAGTTCCTGCAGTTCAATCTCTCCCTGAGTTTATGACGTTCAGTAACATCTCCAAATAAATTCTGAGGGGGAAATTACAAAATAAAAGCAACATATGGTAAGGTAGGGCATGCAACATCATAAATATAATGTGACTATTTAACTTCCTGGGCTGTAAAGACACTGTACATACAGCACTAACCTCTTTAAAAATGGAAGCAGCCTTTCTGTTTGTACGATAGAAGACCCATTTGTAGTTGTCCATCCAGACCTCAGCCAGGCGGACCAGGTTGCGGATGACCACATAGCTGCTGTTGGGGAAGGTGTGGGGGCTCTTTTTGCGGAAAATGTGCCCTACAACAGAACAAGGAATAATCTCCATTTGCCCTCCACATTGCCAGACCTGCGGTGGAGAGGACATACAGCAGGGTAAGACTGAAGATGTTAACACTTAAAAAGCACCTATACAGTATATTGACAAACCTCTTACTGTCACAGTTTACCTCAGTCTGTTCCTGCAACTACACACCATCATCCCCAGCCCTCTGTATTATTTTCTCCATCTGTCCCTGTCTCTAGCCCCAACTCCCTAGACTTGCCATCCTCAAGCTGTCCACCAGAGGCCCTCAAAGCATAGATTCCTTGCCTGCTGCTTGTTGGATTTTATAGTCTGATGTGTTGGACTGCCTTCTGGTTTTGACCTTTTTATATACAGTCTATGGTTTTGACCCTTGCCTACCTCACCGTAACCCTTTGTACCTCCATTTTGTGTGATTAAATCATTGAACTGCATGAGCTCTGCCTCAGTCGTCTGTATTTGGGTCCTACCGCTGTATTCCTACTTGAACCAGTCGTGACACTTACCCTGAAGGACATTTCCAAATTCTCCCCTCCCCAGAACTCCATCTGGTCATCATAAGTCCCGATATGCTCAAAGTATGATTTCGATACAGAGAACAAGCCACCAGCAAAAGTAGGAGTTCTACAAAATCAGACACAAATCAGTCACTATTAAAGACCAACTAATTTAATTTCAATGAAACATTTGGGAATATTTTTTTAATGTTTTTAAAATGTTTTTTTTTGCTTTTGATTGACACATCTCTCACATCTTTATGGTAAACATATAGTAGGAGCCAGCAGCCGGTTAGCTTTGCTTAGCACAAAGATAGGAAACAGCAGGAAATAGCTAACCTAGCTCTGAAGCTCAAAAATATCACAGTCTGGCCTAGCAGCAACTCTAAAGTTCACTAACTGTCATGGTGTAAAAGTTCTGTTTGTTTCCTGTTTTATTTTGAAACAGTGCCTCTTGTGTCTTGTCCTTTATTTCCTGTTTGTGTCCTCCCTGTTGATTGCCTAATGTGTCTCACCTGTGTAATCACCCTGCCAGCAGCTGTGTTTCCATGTGTAGTCTGTGTTCCTCCCTGGTCTTTTTCAGTCTGTTGTTCAGTGTCAAGCATCCCTGCCTGTTCTCTGTGCCTGTTAAGGATTTATGTTGGATTTTGCCTGATTTCCCTCACCTAGATGGTGGCCTACATGCCTTCGCCCTGCAATATAAGCCAGTGTACCTTTTTGATTTAATTTTTGAAACTATTTAAACAGTTCTGCTGAGCCTGGTGTCAACATTTTGGGTCATATCCCTGGTTTCCACTGTCTACACGTGGCAAAATGTGACACTAACATATCATCTTGTTTAACTTATCCAAAAATCAAAGTGTCGAAATGACAAGTTGCTGTTTTTGCCAGGAAACCAGCAGATATTGCTCTCAGCTTTGAAAGCGGTATCAATCTTCTCATCTAACTCTCAGGAAGAAAGCAAGAAGAAGAAAGCGTATTTTGTTAAAAGTGAAACTATTCCTTTAAATCAGACTAACTAATTTGCTAACTTCTTTGTTAGCTGGAAGGCATCTATAAAACCTATATTGCAAGAACATTTTGTGAAATAAATAATTAAATTATTAGCACATTACATAAAGGCTCATTACACCTAAATTATGAGGCGAACCAAGAACATCTTGGATCCTTAGTCCTGTCACTAAAATAGTTAATGTAGACATGATGCCGGTCACCTCTAGATCTGTGTGGCTGCACACTTATACCTGATAGGACAGGTCTCATTCTTCCTTTGCTTCTTTTCTTCATCAGGAATGGCCTCCCATCCAAACTTGAGCTTCCAGTCAAAATTCCCTCGACTGTAATGACGGGGTTTAGGGACTGGTTTGCTGAACTTCAGGTTAGTTTGGTCAATAACGGTGATTTTGGGGCTCACCACAGCTGTAGAGTCCTCTACTATCCGAGCTAGAAGAGGCTCCAGCCATCCAGGGAAGCATTCACCTGCGCAGGAATATAAAAGATAGGAGCAACTTGTGTCAGTCAGTAAAAACTGTCATCACAGTCAGGGTAGCTAGGAATGTGTCGGTCAAATTCGGTGACTGTAGCCCCCCCTATAGTTTTAACTTGTTCGCTTTCAACCATTTACATCCACTCAATGCCCAAACCTCTGATAAACAACCACCAGATACTAATTTTAGGCACTACCTTCATTATTTTGCAAAAGACACCTGTCAGAACTGGCATGAAAAAGATGGCAAACATTGCATTATGGGATACATACAGTGGGAATCCAGGAAGGTGAGCACCTCTCCTTGTGC